ATGCCGAAAATACCAGACTGCCATCTTTGAACTCCTTTTTAAGAAAGATGTGATGGTGGACAAGATGAAGTGCATACACCTAAGCACCCAGAGAATACACCCAGCCTTCACATCATGAAGGCCATGCAGTTTCTCAAGTCTCAGGCAATGTGACGGAACAGCTCTCCTGGAGACATTTCTACTGGTACCTTACAAAACAGGGTTTCCATTGTCTACATGATTACCTTCACCTTCCCCCTGAGATCATGCCAGCTACTCTGCTTTGCAGTGGCCCAGAGACCTCGGTCCAAAGGTCTGGAGGGTGAGCGACCTGCAAATCTCGCAAGAGGGGAGCTGACAGAGACACCTAGAGCTCTGTGCCACCTTGTGCTGACAAGAAAGCAGAGACTGGGACTGGGTAAGCAACTGAATTCCACTTGAGAGGTGGATTTAGTCATGGACGTGGTCAGCCACCTCAGTAAAATGGGAGGGGATTATTTTGTGTGGAATAAACTTGTAGCCAGAAAAAAATGAAAAAATTTTAAAAAATAAAAATAAAAAATGATAAAAAGGATTCTAGAGAAATCATAAATATAAAAGGCAAAAAAGGCAGGACAACTAGGAAAAAAAGTAAGGCAAGTGCACATGTGAAATTAGGATACTGTAAAAGGGACATTTCAAATCAGTGGGTCAGATTATTCAATAACTTATGATTCAAACATATTGGGGTATAAATAAATAATTTCCCTGAATGAATTTTCAGAGTGACAAAAACAGATGTCTCTAAGGGAGAAGGGAATTGAGTGACTTTGAAATGTTGAGAAAAGGGTGAAATGCCCCTTTTGTACCTTTATAATATTCTACCATGTGACTCTATGACCTCTGATGTCCAAATGCCTGAATTCCAATCCCTGTTCTCCTCCTTGTTAGCTCTCAGTCTTGGGCAAATTCTCTATACACACTGCCTCCTTATCTGTGACATGGGGAGAACTTACCGAGTAAAGCCTGGCACAGGATAAAATCTCAGTAAATGCAAATTATTAGTGGATACAGCCCAGATGTCTAGCAACTGATGAATAGATAAGTAAATTTGTTATAGTAATATAACAGAATGCCATGCAGTCATGGAAAGGAACAAAGCACTGACAATCACTAGAACATAGGTACACCTTTAAACCATAAGGCTAAGTGAAAGAACTCATATGCCAAAGGACACATGTTGTGATTCCCTTTATAGGAAACATCCAGAAAAGGCAAATCCATAGGGACTGGTGGATCCCCGGGACCAGAGGGAGGAGGGAAGAGGAAATGATTGGTCACAGGTCCAGGGGTTTCTTTTGGGGATGATAAAAAGTGTTATGGATCAGATAGTTGTGACGGTTGAAATAACTCATGAATGTACCAAATACCACTGAATTTAACATATTTAAAGTGAATTTTATGTTATATAAACTATATCTCAAAAATAATTTTTAAAAAGTAAATTACTGATTTTCCAATGGTGTTGAGGCACTGTCCCACCTTCCTTTTTGCCCCCTTCATTCCTTTCTGTCTTCCTCATTTCACTGCCTCCAACTCTCTGTCCTTCCTGATATGCTTTGAGGCCCCCCTAGGAGCATTTTTGGGCCATTGGGCATCTGCATTGTGGGACTTTGGGGTGACCCATTGCGCAGGCACACCCACTTCTCTCTCTCTTGTGGAAATGGATTCTCCAAACCGGTTTTTTTGTGTGTGCACTTTGGTTGATGGCAACAGTGCAAGAATGCTGCAAGCCCCCTCAAATTAACATTTAGGCCCTTCAAGAAGTGTACGATCTTGTGTACCAGTTACATTTTGATGCTGCACTCTGATAGCCAGTTTGGCTGCTAAGGTGTTTGAACTGAGAACTTTAGGGGTACTCCCATAGGCCTCACATTGAGACCTTTCCCCTTTGCATGCGGTGTGACCCTAGCCCATTGGTGAACTTCATCAGTAAGTGGCACAGTGATACTGGTTTTGTGTGCTGTTGTGAATGTTCATTCAAGTAGTGCATCTCACTGGCCTGGTCAGAGGGTTTAAGTAAATCATGAGTTATATTCTAGCCCCTCTTCTGAGTGGACCTCATACTGTGGCACTTTAACTGTGCAGAACCCAGGTATCAGCTGCCCTAGGATGACTGTGGGTTCTTGTAGCTCCCCTGGTATGTTCCCCTGTGTTGTGCATTTACTTTCCCAGCTACAGTCATAAATGTATAAGGTAGCCCAAGCCTATTGGAGATATGTTCTAAGTCTTATTTTCTCAAATTGCCTGTTAGGCCATGAGACACAAGGCTGTCTTTTGTGAGAGATTTTTTCACACTTTTTCTAGTCAGCCTAGACTCAACTTCTGCCATCTTCAACTTTTTCTAAATGTTATTCTTTCAGCCCCACCCTCAGACTCTGCATCTGACTCCTGCCATTATTACCATTTCTTATTTGTTCTTATTCTCATAAAATCTCCCCGATTTTGACCATTCTTTTCTAGGACTAGTTTTTTTTTCATGAATTTTCATTTCTTCTTACAGATTTTCCAATGTACCTTTTACTTCCTATTTTTCCATGCAGCCTTTGATTTTCACTTTTAGCAAACAAAAACTATGTTTAACAGAATCTCAATACTCCAAAGACCTTCTTGTTAGTCTTATACTGCTCAATTCTATTGCATTTCTTTATTTAGTCTCATTAAACTTTAAAATATGTCAGAATAAATAGAGAAATTTGTAGCTGTCTTTGTATATGTGGAAAACCAGCAGGTACCCAAAGTGATACCAAGAATTTTAGCAGCTCTTACATTATAAAACCATAATATATATCAATTTCTATATCTTTTTCCCTGTCAAAAAAATGACCGTTTCCTCAAAGAGATGAATTTAGCAGCATTTTCTTGCTCTTGTGAAGTCTGCCTCTTCAGGGTCTTACAGTCTTGCCTTTGCTCTTCTGTGATGTGTGTTGATGTTAGTGGTGTCAAGAGTAAGTGTCTGTAAGGGAGAAGGAAAGTAGGTGGCTTTGAAAGGTTGGGAAAAGGGTGAAACTTGCCTTTTGTGTCTTTCTAATGTTTTGTCATATGAATCTGTTACCTCTGATGTCTAATTGCCAGAGTTAAAATTCTAGCTCCCTTATTTTCTAGCCCTTAATCTTGGGCGAATCCTTGGCATGTTCTACCTTCGCATCTGTAAAATGGGATGAATTTAAGCAGGTGATGCCTAGCAGAGAAGAAAATTTCAATAAATGTCACTTATTACTGGGAACTACCTGAATGTCCAGCAGCCCATGAGTGGATAAGCAAATGTGGCATATTAATACAATAGAAATCTATACAGTAATGAACAGGAATGAAGTACTGACACTCATTGGAGCATATATACACCTTTAAGCCGTTATGCCAAGTCAAAAAATCCAGATACCAAGGGTCGCATATTGTGATTCCACTTATTTGAAATGGCAGAAAAGGCAAATCCATAGAGACTGGTGGACACTTGGGACTAGAGGGAGGACAGAATAGGGAATGACTGACTGCTAATAGGTCCAGGGGTTTCTTTGGGGGATAAAAATGTAATCGATTATTTAGTTGTGATCGTTGCACCACCTTGTGTATATACCAAATGCCACTGAATTGTGTACTACATGTTGAGTGAATTTTGTTATGTAAATTATGTCTCAAAAAAATTTTTTTAAGTAATTACTGATTTTCCATGGTGCTGATGCACTACTTTGTCTTGTCTTTCACTCTCTCCATTCCTTTCCTGCCCTCCCACCACTGCACCCAAACCTATCTCCCTTGTTCTATGCTCGAGTCCACCCAAGGAGCACCTCAGGGCCCTTGTGCTCTGGAGTCCTGTGACTTTGGGGATGACACAATTTACATATCAGGTCATTTTTCTCATCCCATGGAAATGGACCCTCAAGACTGAGTTTTCTGGTGTACTTCAGTAGATGTCAAGAAGGTTGTACATGCTTGATTTGTGTAGGGGCAAGTGGTGGGAGTCCCTCAACTAAATATTTAGGCCCTTTCAGAAGTTTGATCTTGTGTGCCAGTAACCTACAGATGCCATACTTTGAAAGCCAGGTTGGCCACTACAGGCACTTAAAACACTGAGGACTTTGGGGATCCCGATTAGCCTCACTTGGAGACCTTGTTTCTTTGCATATAGTGTGACCCCAGTCCAATTACTAAACCTCACCATCAGAGTGGCACAGTGATACTGGCTTTGCATAGTGCAAATGCTAACTCAAGTAGTACTTCTTGCTGGCTTCGTCATTGCTGAGTAAATGGTGATTTTTGCTCCAACCCCTGTTGTGAGTAGACCTCATTTTATGGCAGTTTAATTGTCCAGGACCCAGGTTATCAGTTACCCTAGGATTACTGTGGGCCCTTGACATTCCCTTAGTAGTTTCCCCTATGTTTTGCATTCACCTTTCCTGGCTATAATCATATATGGTTAAAGTAGCTCAAACCTATTGGAGATGTGTCCTAAATCTTATTTTCTAAACTATGTACCTGGTAGGCCATGAGACATGAGGCCATCCTCCATGAGAGAATTTTTACATTTCTTGTGGTCAACCCAGACTCAGCTTCTGTCATTTTCAACTTTGTCCAAATGTTATCTTTTCAGTCTTAACCTCAAACTCTGTGTCTAACTTCTGCCATTTCTCCCATTCCTGATTATTTTTATAACCCCACAAAATTTTACTCCTTTTGGCCATTCTAGACCTGAACCAGGTTACTTCTTTTTCCTCAATTATTATCTTCTTTTCCCTCTTTGCCAATCTAACTTTCAGTTTCTTCTTTCTGGTGCAGCCTTTGATTCCCACCTTTACCAAAGAAAAATCACAGTTAACAGAATCTTAAACTCAAAAGACATTTTTATTAGTCATGTACTGGTCAATTCTATTGCATTCTTTTTTTTAGTTTAAGTTTTGAAATATATTTAAATAAAAAAAATTACATTTGTGTATATTTGGAAAACTAGGTAGTACCCAAAGTAATACCAGCAATCTTAACTCTTACATTGTGTAGCCATAGTATTGAGCAATTTCCATATCTCTTTCCCTCTCGACAAAACCCTGCACTTTCCCCAGAGTAGTATATTTGGCGGCATTTTCACGATCTTGTTGAGCCTTTCTCTTCATGGTCTCACGTTTTGACCTCTGCTCTTCTGTGATAGGTGTTGACATTACTGGTTCAGGAACATTGGGTTTCCTCCATGGAATTGGTTAATGGCTGAAGTCTTGGAGTAGATATTCATTTTGAACCTTTAGTGGTTACTGGAGCAGGGTCTCTTCAGTGAAAACAGGCTTATATTGCAGAGAAGTGCATGATGATGTTTTGTAGGGTGCAGTCCTAAGTGTAGCAGAGTTAGGAATAGGAGACTGGGCCGAAGTTATCAAGGTGAGTCGGGTTGCCTTGGTGAAAATTGGCTGAGCTGGTCTGGCAGGACTCATCAAAGTCATGTTGGTAGGAGCTGATTGGGACAGATTGACTGCAGTTGATTCAGTTGAGTTAGTAGAACCAGGCCTGCCAGAGTAAGGCACAGCAGGCTTATGTGCAGCCAGAGACTGTGGCCATGGAGGAGCAGCAGGTCGAGCTGGTCAATTAGGATTAGAAAGGGCAAAGGTACCAACTTGACCTTTCCAGGTGGTGGAAGGTCATACTCAGATGGAGATGGACACTCTTTGGCAGCACTGCCATTGGATTTCTGGGCTTTGATTTGTATTTTCTCAGGACCTTTACCCTCACGTGAGGTATCCAGCCATGGTTTGAGAGCTAGGGATGGTTTGGGGTCTTTGTTGTTGCTTGAGTTTCCCTGGGTCTAGAAGGCAGAGACTCGTTTTCTTCTCACTCTTCCACAGTGGATGGAACACCTGCACCGACTTCAACATATGCATGCCTAGGCCAGTTTGAGGCTTTTTGAAGGTCTCTGTACTAAACACTGGTAGATGATTCTTCTGCTTCATCTTGGGAGTGGTTGACACTTATGCCTTGACTGTGTTCCCCTACTGCTTACTCTCTTCAGATTTCTTGGTCTTGTTTTCTCCGGTTCTTTTGGCGTTTTTGTGTCCATGGCCCTTAGTTTTGCTAATTTTGCTGGATGCATCTCTCTGAGGTCTGTTGTCAAAATGCTTGGCCACATCTGCAGGAGGCCTGTCATTGACTTTAGCACTACAGAAAACCACTTCTTCCTCTCTCAGGCACTCTGGGTTCTTTGGCTGGATTTTGGCCTCTGGTGGTCCTTGGTCGGGTTTGGAAGTTTTAGGTTTGTTCTTCCTGAGTTGATCAGAGTGACCCTTTATGACACTTGACTTATCCTGCACTTGAATCACCTTGATAGCTCTGATATCTTCATCTTTGATTCCTGTGTGACCTTTGGGTTGGTCAAGATCTTTTAAGGAATCAAAGAGCTGTGGAAGGTGACTTTCCTCTGCCAGTGTGGTGATGTCTGCAAGACTGCTGCTAGACTCGATCCCATAGTCCAGTCTCTGTGCCTTGGTCCTCAAGACTCAGGCTGTTTTCTCCTAGATTGGCAACCAAGTTGTTCCTCAGGGCTAAGAGGATCAATGCAGGCCAGAAACTGGTGAATGTCAGGAATTTCTAAAGGGAGTAGTGTGGGATCTTGGTTTTCTATTGGGAACTGGTAGACATCCAGAGGCTTAGAAAGCTTGATTTTGATCTCACCCAAATTGTGATTATCTGAATGTTCCTGGCTTGGAACTGTAGGCAGTGTCAAGTGATTAGTAGCACTCTGGACAGGAGCTGTCACTGAAATGTTCCCAAGCTCAGGTGATGGACTGCTATCAAGTATTTGGATATCTTTGCTACTATGGGACTTAGGGAATTCTGGATTTTATAACTGAGCAATTGTCTGGTTTGAATCAAAATTCTAGGGAAGTCTCAATTTCCTGGGACATTTCCATTCCTACGAAGGAATCAAAAAACACGTCAGTCTCTGGTAAGTGAGATGCTGTCCCTACACACCAATGCAGCATTCAGATACCTTTCAACAGAGGGCAAGCATTTGGGGCTAACTTGTATTAAGTATCATGGAAAAGATCCTATGTTAGGAGATAGGCAGTGACTGTTGTAACTAGTTAACATTTGGTGTCATTGTTTAATTTTCTTTGTATTTCACAGTGTTGTTCTCAGTCAAATTAAAAGTGAAAGTAGTGTCAAAATACAAAAAGTTTTGTAAAGCCTGGCATTCTCATACAGTGTCCTTTCAATTCTCTCCACTCTCCTGAGAGAATATGAAGACTTCACACCATGGACAAGGACAAAGAATTGAGCTGCTCCCCATGAAATCTGTAAGCAAGGACAGATTATAAGCCTGCTTGCTTTGGCCAGGATCTCTGAATACATGGTCTTAAATCCTGGTGTAAAGTAAGAAACATTAAAGTGTCCCTACCACAGGAAAAATTCTGAAGTGCTGTCTGAAGAAACTAAAGCAATACGTTAGGGAAGGAAGTTAATGAGAGTGTGATGGTACAGGGAAACTGAACAGCTAGGGCAGCAAAATATAGCATTTTTCAGTGTGCTTTTGGGGTTCTGTTACATGTAGCACAAATGACCAATTTAATGTCCCACCGTCCCACTTACTTAGGTATTCTTGTATTGAGTCTGTAAATGGAGAGCAAGAGCAAGGATACTGGTTGAAGTCTGGGACTCCATTCTACCATCTGTGGGCTCACCACTTGTTAGCCTCAGATTTGACCCTCCTTCTGTGTGCTGAGCTGATTCTTCTCCCTTTTTACTCTTTGTACTCACCTTGCAAGTGTGTTACTGTGTTGGACTGAGCAGACACAGTGTGGTAGATTCCAGAGATGGAGGCTGATGGTAGGATATTTGTGTGCTGAACTTCCTTTAGCACCATCACCATTTCTGGTTGAGGAGCAGCGGTGCTATAGCCTGGGTATGACACAAAGCCATAGGATTGTAGGCTAGGGCAAGTTCTCCAGATAGTAGTGGCCCCACTGTGCCTTGGTTGTAGTAATAGATCTGGCCTCCTTCCTGATAGGGACATGACAGGCTATGTCCCTGATGTGGAATTTGAAATGGCATCCCTTGAACAAGACTGACAGACATGGATGGATACAGAGGGGTCATGGCATTGGTGTATGAAGTTTCATCATACTGGGTTGTCATAATCAGGGAAGGACCAGCTGTGTCCTTGTCAATGACAGTCATAGTGAAGTCACTGAGTGAAGATAACTTGCTTTCAGTGCTTCCTGTGATATCCCACTCAAAACTACCTGGATAAGAGGCAGCTCTAGTGGAGATCTGCCTCTCATCAGCAACTCCAGCCAGCATAGTCGTGCTGGAATGTTGGTAAAGGTAGTTGCTACCCATGAGTGGTTAGAAAGAAATGCCAGAGACTGTTGGCAAGATCCATGCTGAGCTGACAGCTGGAGCAGAGACTCTGGAGAAGTTGCAGACACTTCCTGTTAGAGAGGCTGCATTGCTCACCAAAGGAAGAGAAACCTGTATAGAATTTGCAGTTCCAAATGAAGAAGGGTTTTGGAAATTTTCTATAGGAAACAAGAAGAGAGTTGAAAAACCAATGAGTAACAAGCTTGTCCTACTTTTTAAAACAACATTATCTTAAGGTTGTTGCAATCAGTGAATACCAATATTCACTAAGATACCTGAAATCAGACAGTTTATGGTGACTGTAAATGCTGGAACAGTTTGGTCTCTCTGAGGAGCTGATTTCACATGCAACTTTTACAGAGGACAGATGGACATAAGACCTATGTGTTCTTGTTGTTACATTGTTCCTAGTCTAGAAGCCACCTTCTCTTTGGTTTATCTTTCCCCTGAGGTTGCACCTATATTTACTTGTAACTGTTTCCTATCCTGGAAGCCTTTTAGAAGTAGGAGGTTTTGAGAGAAAGTCTGTTTTAACATTTTCATTTTATGTGTGAGAAAACGGAGGCTCAGAAAGGTCAGATTGCCCAGACAATGTTTAATGTGAATATCATTATCAGCTTGCACAACCTGCCTTTCTTGCCAGGACTCTGCTGAGCAGAGACCAACAACTTGGAGAAACAGATCGTTTCAATATTGACATATTTGTGGTTTATTAGCCACTAGTAGCAGCTCTTACTATTGTCTTCTTTAGTGTCTCATTTTGCTGAAGCAGGTCACATGCTTTTTCCTAGAGTTCACATTTAACTCAAGCTACTGAGTGAGTCTAACAGGATGTTATTTACCAAAATCAAGACTGAATTCTAATTCTAGGTCAATATAACTGCTTGAGAATTAGATCTCAAGAAAAGCTTTTTGAGAGAAAAACAAATTATTTAAACTCTGATCTTCAGGATATGAATTTGTGAAGTGGTTCTCATAATAAAAACAGTCATCATTCAAAGATAAATTAAAATGATATATTACAGATGATGTATATAAAGGGAGATAGTAACTTCTGGAAAGACAAAGAAAAAAATTATGAGAAATGTATTAATTCCACAGAACTGTAAAGAAAAATGTGGATATTAATGAAAATGAGGGTATGTGGCAAGCATCAAAGTATAGTAAATTACTAACAAATGAAGTTCTGGGAGTAGAATAAACAGATAGCAAAGTATGACACAGCTTATGCAGTGATAAAATGGGCTATTTTTTAAGGTAAGAGGACAGATGGTTAATATTAATAAGTAACTTTGTAGGTGATGAAAAAGTTCAGAAAAGGAAAAATTAAAACTTAAACTCAGCTCTTTTTCTTTTTTGGGAGACAGTAAATAATGCTTGGCATAGTATGAACATAAAATATACAACATAAAGAGAACTATGCATAATGTAAACTATGGACTTTGGTTAATATTGATGTGTCAAATCTGGTTCATGAATTGAAACAAATGGACCACATGGATATGAATTGTTGATGTTGGGGGAAACTGTTTGGCACTGGGAAGGCAAAGTAAATGTGGCAAATGTCTGTCCTTTTCATTCAGTTTTTCTGTGCCCTATAACTATTCTCCAAGACAAAGCTAGAAGGAAAAAGCTTGAAGACCAGATGTCTTCGTTAATTGAGCAAAAGTGCATTGAGTATTATGGTCATGGATCAATATCAGGCATTGGTCTACCTCAATGAAAAAGAAAACCCAGTTGCTGTTTTTTTTTTTAAGGTATCATGGATGAAGGCTTAGAGTCATCAGAAAGAACACAAATCTTTAAAACACGAGCAAGATTTTATTGATTTGACCATTCTTTCATTTATTTGTTCATTTGGCCATCAAATGTATACTTGGGTATAATGGGGTTCTCTTTTCCTCCTTTATTTTAAAGATGTGGGGTACAATTTAGGGTTAGGTATACAACTGTTCATTATGCAGGTACTCTTGTTGATGATGTTTGCCCTTCTCTCCCCTGGCTGTTTCCCTCAATTGCCAATAGCTTTCTTATAGTATTAAAATTGTTCAAGGTCCGCTGTTGAGTGAGAACATATGGAACTCTGTTCTTTGTTTCTATGGTAGATACCTTAGTATGACAGACTCTAAATCCATTCAAGTGGCTGAGAGACCCATATGTTTGTCCTTCTTTATGACTGCATAATATTCCATTGTGTATTTGTACCACCTTTTTTTATCCAGTCCAGCTTCAATGGGCAGCATAATTGGGTCTATGTTTTTGCTACTGTGAATAGAGCTGCAACACACATATGTATGTAGGTATCTTTTTGGTAGAAGGACTTGAGTTCCTCCAGGTATATTCCCAATAGGGGGATTGCTGGGTCATATGGAATGTCAAATTCTAGTTGTTTCAGAAATTGCCACATGGTCTTCCATAGAGGTTGCACTATTTTCATTCCCACCAGCAGTGTAGAAGCCTTTCTTTTTCTCCACATCTTTGCCAGCATCTGTTGCTTTTTGTTTTATTAATGATGACCATTCTTACTGGGGTCAAGCGGTATCTCAGTGTGGTTTTGGTTTGCATTTCTCTGATGATTAGAAAGGCTGAGCACTTTTTCATGTGTCTTTTGGCTGCTGTATATCTTCTTTTAAGAAGTACCTATTCATGTTTTTCTTTTTATAAAGATGTGGGGTACAATTCAGGGTGAGGTATACAAACATTGATTATCCATGTACCCTTGTTGACTTTGCCCACTTTTTAATGGGGCTGTTTGTATTTTTCCTTTTGGCATGTTTGTGTTCCCTTTAGACCCTATAGATCCTAGATGTTAGGCCTTTGTCAACTATACAGTTTGCAAATATTTTTTTTCCCATTTTTTTTCCCATATTCTGTGGACTGTCTTCCTGCTCTCTTCATGGTTTCTTTTCCTTTGCAAAAGATTGTCAGTTTGATGAGGTTCCACTTGTCTATCTTATCTCTTATGTTATGGACATTTGGGATTTTGGTCAAGAATTGGTTGCCAGTTTCAATTTCCATAAGGGAGTATCCTGCATTTTCTAAGATTCTTATAGTTTAAAGTTTTACGTTTAAGTCTCTGATCCATTTAGAGTTAATTTTTGTGTATGGTGATAGGTAGGGGCTTTGTTTCAATCTTCTGCATGTGATCAGCCAGTTTTCCCAGCACCATTTACTGAATATGTTCTCCTCTCTCCAGTGATTATTGTTGGAGACTTTGTCAAATATGTGTTGGTTGAAAAATTGATGTTGTGCTCCCAGAATCTCTATCCTGTTTCTTTGGCCATATACAAGGCTGTTTTGATTATTATAGCCTTAAAGTTTGAATTCTGGAAGTGTGATACCTCCTGCTTTGTTTCTTTTGCTAAGGATTGTTTTGGGTATTCGTGGTCATTTATGTTTCTATATGACTTTCTGTATTGTCATTTCCAGGTGAGAAGAATGATGGTGGTAATTTAATGGGTATTGCATTAAATCTGTAGATTGCCTTGGATAGGATGGACATCTTAAAAATGTTGATTCTTCCTATCCATGAACATGGAATATTTTTTCATTTGTCTTTGTCTTCTGGGATTTCTTTGAGTGGTGTTTTTTAATTCTCATTGTAAAATTCTTTCACTTCTGGTTAGGAAGATGCTGAGGTATTTCATTTTTTGTGTGTGGCTCTTGTGAATGGGATTGTGCTTTTTATTTTGTTCTCTGCCTGCTTGTTGATGGTGTATAAGAATTAAACTGTCTCTTTCACTTTTATTTTGTTCCCTGAGACTTTGTCAAAGTTCTCTATCAGTGCAAGCAGTTTCTTGACAAATTCTCTTGAATTTTTGGGGTATAGGATCATATTGTCAGCAAAGAGGGATAACTTAACTTCTTTTTCTATTTGGATACCCCTGATCTTCTCTTGTCTCATTGCCCTAGCTGGGACTTCCAACACAATGTTGAACAAGAAGGGTGAGAGTGGGCAGCCTTGTCTTCTTCCAGTTTTCAGGTGAAATGTTTCCAGTTTCTGTCCGTTTAGCAATATGCTAGCTGTGGGTTTATCGTAGATGGCACTTATTATTTTGAGGCATGTTCTTTCTGTACCTAGGTGTTTGAGAGTTTTTATCAAGAAGGGGTGCTGGATTTTATCAAAAGCTTTTTCTGCATCTAATGATATTATCATGTGGTTCTTGTTTTTACATCTATTGATGTATTTAATTACATTTAGGGTCATGAAGTTGTTGAACCAGTCCTGCATCCTAGGGATAAAGCCTTCTTTGTTACGGTGGATGATTTTTGAGACGTGTTTTTGGATTCGATTTGCTAGAATCTTGTTGAGTATTTTTGCATCTAAGCTCATAAAGGATATTGGCCTGTAGTTCTCTTTTTTTGTTGACCCTTTACCTGGTTTGGGTATCACTGTGATGTTAGCTTCATAAAATTATTTGTGGAGATTCCATTTTAATTGTCTGAAATACTTTCAGTAGGATTGGTGTCAGTTCCTTCTTATACATTTTGTAGAATTCTGCTGGAAAACCATCTGGTCCAGGGCTTTTTGTTGTTGTTGTTGTTGTTGTAGGTAATTTTCTTATGACAGGGTCAATTTCCTGGGTTGTTATTGGTATACTTAGTGTCTCAATGTCTTCTTGCTTCAACCTGGGGAGGTTGTGTGATGTCAGAAAGTCTTCCATTTCATTTAGATTATCAAGTTTGTTTCCATAGGTGTGCAATGTAATCTCTAATAATTTTTTTATTTCTTCAGGGTCAATTTTGATTTGATCTTTTGAGTTTCTGACTGTTTTTGTTTGGGTTTTTTCACTCTTTTTCTTGGTCATTTTGGCTAGGCATCCATCAATCTTGTTAATTCTTTCAAATAACCAGTTTTTTGTTTTGTTGATGTTTTCTATGATACTTTTGTCTTCTATGTCCCTTATTTGGGCCCTTATTGTGGTTATCTGGATTCTTCTGTTAAAGTTAGGGTTCTGTTGACTTTCTCTTTCCAGGTCCCTTAGGTGATTTGTTAGGCTGCCAACTTGTGAACTCTCCATTTTCTTGATGTGTATTCGTAGAGATATAAATTCCCCTCTTAGAACTTATTTCATGGCATCCCAGAAGTTTTGATAAGATGTTTATTCATTTTCATTTGTTTCCAGGAATATTTTAATTTCTATTTTGATTTCAGTGT